CAAAGCTCTCTTCTCATACACACCTGCCGCTGGGCGTACACAGTACTAACTACTTCTTGTATTTTCACCACACACGCACACACACACATTCTCTGTCGACTTGGTGGCCACTGGAATATTATGCTACCCCCTGGTGAGACTGACAGGTGTGTGTGTGTGTGTGTGTGTGTGTGTGTGTGTCAGGCTGTCTGGAGTCCTCTCTCTTGGTATTTATTGGTTCTGGACAGCTGAGGTGCTCGTCGAGATCTCTATTTAGCACTTCCGGCTAATTATCATACACACATCTGAAGCTGATGCTGAATATGTGCCATTAACCCCGGACCGCCCACGTCATTTAGGCACTGGCTAACTTTGCATGCCAAATCCCTCTGGTGGCTTGTGGGCTTAAATAGGTCCCTACTGCCCTTTTAACACTTGTGCTACTACATAACAGACCTCGCAACCTGTTACACTGCGACCACAGAGCTTTCATTTGCTTTCCCAGACTGGGTTTGAACACTTGTCACATGAACAACAGCAATGGGATTTTTTGCTTCCTCATGCATGACAAGGACTAAAGGGCAGAGTTAAAGAATGCGGCATCAGAAGGAAGATCTGAAACCATTTTGTTTCCCCCCTTTAGCAATAAAGATTTAAAAAATGCTACAGCGTTTCCATCTGTGGTTGCTATGACATCATCTTAATTAGCTGTGTTAACACGTACAACCCTCAGCTCCAACAGTAGTTAGTTCCTGCACTGATGTGGTTGGATGTAATGACCAGGTGCTTGTTAGTGGGATCTCTCAGCTGGAGTTACCTGACACATGCGGCCTGGATGAATGAATGAGTCTTCTGCAAGAGGCGGCTCTCTTCTACTCTCATTTTTTATATTGTTGGTACATGCATCCCCTCACCGCTCGTCTTTTAAGCTTCAAGGCGACACCCAGCTTTTTTTGTCCTCTGTGCAGGATGAGCAGCTGTGGCAGGTTTTTAGTGTCTGTCAGCAGCGTTTGAGCCACTCAGAGGACGCTGTTTCAAAGAGATATTAGAGGGTGTAACCTAAGTACTTTAAAACATGAAAAACGGATGGCTTTTTTTATGGCTGTTTTGATGTTTATGGCTCATTTATGCTCAACGTTAGATTGATATACAGAAACGGAGAGAGCCTTCTGTCTGTACTTTGACTTCAAGTCTTGTTTTTTACTCTAAGTAAAATTTTATATGTGAATGAGTTCAGTTTAAAAAAAAAAGATATTAACTTCCATTTATATTGTTTCTACATTTTCTTCTTCTCGTTACATAATGGATTTATTAATTTATATCAGCTCTGTTTATAAAAAAAATGACTCAGGAGTTGATTTTTCCCTCAAACTGATTTGCTTGGTTGGGTTTGTTGTTAACATTCTATATTTTCTTTTCTTTTTTTCCAACCACAATTGTTTTAGTCTGCTTGGTGGTTTTTCTCTCTGATGCTGTTTGGTTTTGTGTGGTCGGGATTGTTTGGATCTAACCGTGTCCTCGTCTCTGTGCCTCAGGTCCAGGGTGTAAGGGGGAGCAGCAGGTCTCGGAGCTCCAATGCCAGTGGACATGCAGCCACACCAGGGGCTGTATCACTACGAGACCTCACCCAGCCAGCCCTCCAGAGGGTAAGACAGCACACACTGTCCTCACTCATTACTCTGCATTTTAACCACCATATTTCACAGTGAAATTCACAATAATCTTACAAAAAATATAGTTGAAGGTTCTGGGACAAAATACATATTTAAATTCGTTTTGAGAGATAAATGAGAGGGGTTAATAATAACGTCTTAAATTAAGAGTCAGAACATGATAACTTAGAAACCGCCTGGCTCACTCCTAAGTTAGAAAATATAGATACCTACATTGTTAAAAAAGGAATTGAGATAAAGACATAAAGGGTATGTTTTCTTTTCTTCATACCTCCAGCAAGGCCAAACAGTCTTTTTATGAACCACATTTTTTAAATAAGGTTCGATTTTTAATTGGATCTACATTTCACATGCCCAGAAGTACCAGTCCCCTAAAAATGCCTGATTTTTACATCAAGATCCATGAATTATTTTCTGAGAAATCAACAAAAACATCAAATAACAACCTATCACACAACGTTAAGAAAAAAACTCCTGGATCCACCCCCCCTTTAATGATCCATATTAAAACTTTTGGTCATGTCCCATCGTTCCACAGAGCTCTGTCGATCTGTTCAGTTGTTTTTGTAAAAACCAGCCAACAAACAGACAGACATTGGTGATGTGTGTTTTTACTGTGTATTACTTGTATCAGCCAATATGCAGTATATGAAAATACAGACATGTCTGTGAAAGGTCATACTGAAGGCAGGTTTTACTCATATGTTTTGGTCTGTGTACAGGAATGAAGGAATCAAACGTGGCAACAACACATATTTACTGAGTTCCATTTAATAATTATCTTTCAACCTATGCACAATTTTAGGTGTTTGGACGTGTATTTTTTAAACTCAGGACAGAGCCAGACGAGCCGTTCATTCTTGTTTCCAGTCTTAAACCTAACAAGGATGCTGATCTCCTTAATGCACCTTCGAAAAGAAAGGAAACAAGCTTATTTTCTAAATGACTGAATTCTCTGATCTTGCCACCACTCATCTCAATCTTTCAGCCCACACCAGAGCTGCCCGTCTCTAGGAAGCACAACTTATATTCAACTTCAGGGACCAGAAACTGTTCCTATTTTAACACCAGGGGATATTACGAGGGCGCAGGAGCAATTGTTGTGGACACAGGCCTGTAGCTCAGCCCCTCACTCCTCCCCCCTCCCTCCCTTTCTCATGCCACCCAGGTTGCGGGTGGACTCGGCCTCTCTGACAGCTGCTAATTACAGGCTGACCAGGCCCTGTTGCGCTCTGCATGACTGCCCCGCGCCCCACTCAGGTTACCCAGAGAGAGAGGGAGCAGTGGAGAGAGAAAGGTGGCTTTGCAGGACAGAGAGAGACAGAAGAGCAGGAGGAGGAGGGAGAGAAGAGGAGGGGATAGAGAGAGAGGGAGAGAAAGAGGAGTAGAACAGAAGGGATGATTGGGAAAAGAGAAAGGAGGGAGGTAAATTTGGTGGGGGGGAACCGGCCCAGTGGATTAGAGAGGGCAGATTAAGCTCCTGTGTGGAATACACGTCGTGGTGACAGAATTAGAGAAGTGAAAGGGGATGGATGAAGTCTGTCCCTTTTTAAAAAAAAGAGGAGCAGGAGGGACAGAGGGAGAAAGAGGAGGAGAACAGGGGAGAGCCATTCTGAAACTAAGCAGTGAGAATAAGGAGAGGTCAGAGAATACATTGAGATTTATGAGGAGACTGGAAAGTTCCAATGAGGCTTCACTTCTAGTTTGGAGAGGGGGAAAACCCAGATGAGCAAGTTTCCACAGTGTAGAGCAAGAGAAGGGCTATACACCACCTACTGGTGAGGAGGAGACATCACAACAAAGTCCAGTGAAGATGGGATAACAGATCTTTTTTTCTCTGGGCTGTTCTTTTTTTTTTTACCAGGTGGTAAACTGCTTCCAAAACCTGTTCCTGCTACTACAAATACTTTAGCACTTAAACTGCAGTTACAGAAGCTGTTATTGTGTCGTATTTACATATTTCTGCCCTTCACAGTTGTGCGTTAGTTGTTGTGCAGTAAAAACGAATTTGCACAGGGGACAATAAAGTTGTAAAACTTTAACCAACATCTCCACATTGCATATCACACATATCACACATTCCCTTCTTAATTTCATGTGTCCCTTTGGGCTCTGATACGGCACCATCACTGAATGTTATTGACTGCTCCTTTCAACCATACTTTTCATTTTACATTTGAGTACAAGTACAAGGTTTTGATCCTGAGGTATAGAGGAATTCATTTTAAACAAAATTAAGCTACAGGACAAACAGTGCTGCACCAAACCACATCAAAACTGCAACCTGCTGACCGAACACTGAAGTTACAGCAGAAACATCACTGAATTAAGCAAAACTGGGTCCACAAAGTTGCCGAAATGTTGACCCACAGTACAGGCTAACACCCAGGCCAACCACCTTGATGTTACAAAGATATTGAAACCTATAAAAAGATTTCAATCCCTTAAAAAGGCTCATCACAAAGAGGACAAACAAGTCAAGAGTTAGCAGCCAGAAAAAGATTTATTCAACAAAAATAAAGGAATTAACAAACACAACCGAATTCAACACAAGGCCTGATGGGTCAGCCACAATGAACAAAAGAGGGGAAAACCCACAGACCAACCCACAAAGGGTCGTAGGATCTGGGGATCGTCCTCTAAACAAACCAACAAACAAAACTAAAGCTAACAGAAATAAAGCCACAAAAAACAGAACTACCAGAAAAAGGAATACAAGAAACAGCGCTCTAGGTCTGCTGCTGCTGCTGCTGCAACCATGAAGAAAGAGAGAGAGACTTCTCCCCCTCTTAAATAGGTGGATCTCCATCAGCCAAACTCTGTGCACCTGAGGAGATGAGAAAAGAACAGGACACAATTAGTAGAGGTTAGGCTCAACCACCAGGGGGCAGACTAGACACTTATACGGCACATCTATAAATTCTCTGATTCTAGAAATACATTATATTATATTCTTTTTATAGCTACCATCAAGGGCTGGGCGATGAATACATTTCTCTAATTATTGAAACACAATTTTCATCAATAGCATATATAAACCACAAATCCAACTTATGTCAATATAATGCTCATGAATTAAGCACAGTGAGGAGTTAGAACACATAAATGATCGACCTCAGATTTATAAAATTTGTGTTTGTTATTCTCTGCTCATAAGAAGAGTTTAAAACGTTTAGTCAGAAGCTAAAATAAGTTAATCTTACAGGAACTTCATTTAAAAGAAATATAATATGTTTGTCGTGATGATTATTGATATCTGACAGATTTGTATTTTCTTCTTTATCTTGACGTAATTTTTGATCATCACAACTTTTTGCAGTGGTCATTTCAAATCAATCACATTAATTGAAGTTAATTTCAAATCAAATTAATACATTTATAACGTAAGTGTTTTCCTTTCTATTTGCAGCCTAGTCCCATCAGACCAGTCTCCCTACAGCGATGTGTCTCCGCTGCGCGCCCCGCTCATCAACGGCCCTGCGCAGGACTGTCGAGCTATGTATAATCCTATGACTCCCAGTATGACTCATGGATCGGGACCAGCACAGGGGATTGGCCACTGCATGGATCAATACATGAGGCCCCCTCAGGCCCCACCGCCCCACAGCGTGATGGGCCACAGGGGCATGCCGCCCACGGAGGGTGAGTCACAGTCAGAGTATCTTTTACACCTCGTGAACCTCACAGCTGCTACTGATCTGGATTTAAAGATTCCCCACAGAGCCAGGAAGAAAAAAAGGAGAAGAAACTAACTAGTTCTTCTTTCGTGCTCAACCAACCGTCACATGGCTGCGTGTCAACATAATGTTGAGATTTTGAACATGTGCACACTGGCTCTGTAACTAAGCAACTATTTGTCTTGATGTCTGTTTCTGTCTTGTCTCTAATGTCATACAGGTGGCAATAGCACCCCCTACTGTAGCCAGAACAACATGATGTCCTCTCACCATAACTTCTGCCAGGTCCAGCCTGGCTCTGATCAGATTGGGTCTGTTGACGGTAAGGAAACACTGATTTTAAATGTAAAAAGATGTTTTGCATCATCTCAAACTTACTAACTAACGAACCTCATGCTCTGGTCGTCCTTTAGGTTCGAGGTTCTCCACACCTCGCTCCATACTGAAGCTGAGCAAAAAGAGAGCACTGTCCATCTCTCCCCTGTCCGACGCCAGTGTCGACCTGCAGACGGTGATCCGGACATCACCCAACTCATTAGTGGCCTTTGTCAACTCTCGCTGCAACCCCAACGGAGCCAGCTCCTACGGCCATCTCTCTGTGAGCGCCATGAGGTCAGATACTTCTCTGTTCTGTATGCTAAGTTCAATAATGCATTTGAAAGTCAGTAAAATATCACTCTCTCTTTCCCTCTCAATCCACAGGTGCATTTTAGTAAGCTCTAGTATTGATCTTATTCGGTGCAAAACGAAACCTCACATTATGCACTAGTTTGTTACTTAATTTCGCCTCATCCAGCCACATTCACACACTAACGTTACGTGATGAGAAGTAAATATAAGTACAGCCACTGCAGACGGAGAAAAAACAGATTGCAAATGCAGGTTAACTGCCATAAGATAAAATAAAGAAGAAATTTAAATGTCTGTGTCATTCACCACTTCGGTTTTCTAATCTGTAAGCTGGTAGCTAACTGGCTAAATGCTCAGCAACTATGGTGATAAAGGTATTTATACACATAAACACATGTACTAAGGTAAATTGATAAAATACCAAAGACAAATCATGTAAAAAGTTGGTTAAAAAAGAATATTAGTTTTAGAAAACAAGAGTTCATCATCATATCATGAGAAATGCCCTCATTCACCTCTGTACAGCAAACAGGTTTTGATTTATTTGAATACCTCAATGGTTCCTTCAGCTTTTAGTAAACTTGTATTTCTTTTTCTCTGCAGTCCGTCTCTGGGTTATTCCAGCAACATAAACTGTCAATCCAGGCAACACGGAAGCATGTATGGTGGAGGCGGGGGGACGCCCCTGGGTGGACACACACCAGGTCCCTGCCAGGCTTCCCGCTTACCTCCGCACAATCCTCGGCTGCACGTTACGCCCAAGCATGGACACGTAAGACAGCTCTTTATCACTCCCTGTACAAAGCAGTCATAGCAGTTCAAAATGTTAAACAACATGATGCTTTTCTGTGTAGCTGAAAACGGAGCCAGGGCTGGGCAGTGTGATGGATGGCATCAATGTGAAGAGCCTGGAGGAGAGATCAGAGGGAGATGTGGCCAGTCCGTCTTCCACTGGAACTCAGGTGCAGTAACAGTCTCACTCTCATGAGAAGTGTTTTCCCACATTTTCATTTTAGCTTTTGTCTTAAGATTAGTCAAATAAGCTGTTTTTAGATGTGAGCCTCGGAATATTAGAAAAATTGAATCTGTACATTTATTGTCTGGAACATTCAGGCAAGGGGCTTAGTAGCAAGAGGCAGGGCATGGTCTACAAATATTCAGCTCTTATGACTAAAGACTCTCAGAATCTTTTCTCGTTTTATACGTGTATGGCTCCTCCTTTTCTTCCTGAGATTTGCTCACACTATCAAGTACAAAGATACATTTTTGCAGCTTTGACACACTTTTGTTTTTATGTGGCTTTAGTTGGAAAATAACCTTTTATGACCTCACATCAGCAGTGGATGAAATGACTGGCTGATATGAATGATCTAATATAAGGCCAATTTGGCCCTGTGTATGTTTTTTAAAATCTTCAACATCTTGTTTTTGCCCATCAGGACCCTCTCCTGGGTCTACTGGACGGCAGAGATGACTTGGATAAAGACGACGGGAAACCTGAGCCAGAGGCCGTCTACGAAACTAACTGTCACTGGGAAAGCTGCAACAAGGAATTTGACACACAAGACCAGCTGGTTCATGTAAGAAAGACTGAGCTATAGACACTGCAGGCTGGGGAAATAACAAAGGGAAAAATAAAATAATTTTGAGGTCTTCAGGAAATCCAAGGTTACATGTTATCTACAGTATATCGCTATGATTAATATTGTGTCTCCCTGCGTATCTGTTTACTCTGCAGCACATCAACAATGAGCACATTCATGGCGAGAAGAAGGAGTTTGTGTGTCACTGGCAGGAGTGCTCTCGAGAACAGAGGCCGTTCAAAGCCCAGTACATGCTGGTGGTTCATATGCGCAGACACACAGGAGAGAAGCCACACAAGTGCACTGTGAGTCAGTCTCTTAGCTACCATCGGAATACGCATCATATTTGCATGTTCCTAATATAGCCGGGATCACAGTTGTGTTATTGTTGTTGTGAGATTTCATTATTGCATCTTGACTTACAAAACTACTATTTGTTATTTTTATGTTTTAGTTTGAAGGCTGTAACAAGGCCTACTCTCGCCTGGAAAATCTGAAGACCCACCTGCGCTCTCACACTGGGGAGAAACCATACGTGTGTGAGCATGAAGGCTGCAACAAGGCCTTTTCAAATGCTTCTGACCGCGCCAAGCATCAGAACCGGACTCACTCCAATGAGGTATAGTCGTGTACATCACTGAAAAGTAATCTGGAATCGTAATCTGCATAGCTTGAATGCTAGTCTCCATATTTGCCCTGGCTAATAAAAAACATGTTTTTATGTGAGATTCATGCTGCAAACACAGCACAATGTCCGGTTTAACTAAGCAAAATAAAGTTTGATGGGCAGATACTCTTGAATGCATTAATACAATTTATGGTGTGCAACACTGTGTTCACACAGAGTTTTGTGTATTGACTGACACTTTGCTATCTTGCAGAAACCGTACGTATGTAAGATCCCCGGCTGCACTAAGCGGTACACAGATCCAAGCTCTCTACGGAAACACGTGAAGACGGTGCATGGCCCCGAAGCCCACATCACCAAGAAGCATCGTGGAGACACGGGGCCTCGACCCCCTGGCTCAGCTATGACCCCTGGAGGCCAGAACTCTGAACTTCTGCTGGAGAAAGAGGAGACACGCAGGGAGGACTGCAAACTGCTGGCTCCTGAGATGGCTCTGGTGAGTGCAATATTTATTTATGGCCTTCAATATCAGAATAAAAAAAGATCAGGTCACATATACTTATAATTTCTGCCGTTTTAACAGGATTTTTTATAGTGTAAATGACATTACCTTATGTTACTTTTTTCAGAAATCCCAGCCAAGTCCTGGAGGTCAGTCATCATGCAGTAGTGAACGTTCTCCACTGGGGAGCGCCAACAACAATGACAGCGGGGTGGAGATGAACCTGAATGCAGCCGGCAGCTTGGAGGATCTCACAGCGCTGGAGGATGGAGTGGCAGGTGGCGGAGGAGGAGGGGAGGCAGGAGGTCTGGGAGGAGCGATGGGAATGTCAGCGCAGGCTTTGAAGAGGCTGGAGAACCTGAAGATTGACAAGCTGAAGCAGATCCGCAGACCGACGCCCCCTAGTCGCTGTGCAAACAACAAGTTACCAACACTTCCTGGTCAGTTTTATAATATTACCATCATGGGCGTATTCTTTATATATTTAATATATTCTTGAGGTTTATTGATGTTGAAGGGCAACTTGCACAAAAAAGATTTTCTTGCTGCAGGTTGTTTCAAACTAGAATTGCACTCAGTAGAGAACATAACTCCTCTAAGGCCCAGCAGCCCCCTGAAATAAAATAAGTCTCATAACTAAGGTCAACTTACAATTTTTAGCTACACATCATTAGTTGCAGGTTTCTAACCCTATTTGTTTATGTACCGCAGTTGAAAACATCCTACAATCCTATAAAACCACATTACATAACATTACACAGATGCATTGATAGCAACAACCTAAATATGTTTGAATTTGTTTATGAAGATTAACATATAATTCTCTCAGAACTTAATAAAAATGTTAAGGAAAGTGAAAAAACCCTGGATCTGCCCTATGATATGAATTTGCACCTACATTTTATGGATTCATCCCTGACCCACACTGCATCCTTCCAACCAAATTGGTTACCAATGGTAACTGTTCAAGTAGTTTTTGGGTAATCCTGCTAACAAACGCAGATGAAAACATATCCTCCTTGGTTCAGGGATTACTTCAATTGGATGTAATAATTCTACCATAGTCAAATCTAATCAAATAATTGTTTGTATTGATGAACTGTGTCTAAGCTCTTTCCTCTTGGATTTCCATTATCAGGTCCAGGGGAGAATATAGGAATGTGTGCACCTTCTCCGCTTCTTTCAAATCGACGTGTCATGGAGCTGTCTAACCACGAGTTGGGAGGTGGAACTTCGATTGGCTGCTCCACTAACGACAGGAGAGGAAGCGGGACCAGCAGTCTAAGCTCTGCCTACACTGTCAGCCGTCGCTCCTCCATGGTGTCTCCTTACCTGTCCAGCCGGCGCTCCAGTGAGGTCTCACAGATGGGAGGAACAGGAGGGGGACAGTGTCACCTCTTTGGCCCAGAGCAGAGTGGGGGAGATGCCCTCTCTCCTGAGACCAATCGCAGGGGAGCTCCGTGTCCTGGTGGGGGAGGAGGATTGCCAGGTCTTCCAAATTTAACACCCGCTCAGCAATACAGCCTAAAGGCCAAATACGCTGCAGCAACTGGTGGACCTCCACCCACTCCATTACCCAACATGGAGCAACCAGTCACTCCAGGCAGAAGAGGAGGTGTTTTGAGCGAGTACCAGGGTCAGCCTCTGCCCCCATTCATTCAACAAGCCGGTCCACGTAGGCACAGCGCCAACACAGAGTATGGCACCGGGGTTATCTACCCTCACCAGGCTCCAGGAAACAACAACAGACGAGCCAGTGACCCGGTTCGATCAGTAGCGGATCCACAGGCTCTACCAAAACGCTTCAATAGCCTTAATAACGTAGCCATGATGAGCAGAAGGAATGCACTGCAACACCGTGGTTCTGACACCAGTCTCGCCCGCCACATGTACTCCCCTCGGCCGCCAAGCATCACTGAGAATGTAATGATGGAGTCTATGGGTATGGAGCCCCACCTCTCCCCTGTTGATGCCAGGGATCGTTCTCTGATGATGCCCCCTGGAGAAAGAAATTTTATGGGATACCAGCAACAGCATCAAACTCTTGGAGGAGGTGGAGGTGCTCTTTCAAACCAGCTCTCCCCAACCCATGACTCCCTGGGCTGCCCAGACCAGGGTTACATGCAGGGGCACTATCAGAATCAGGCAGGGGAAGTAACCTCTAGGGTTGGTGGAAATCCAATGGGCCAAACAAGGCCGATTCATCCAGAGGGCATTTCTAATGCTCTTCTCCAGCAGGCCGAGTACAGTATGAGCACCTGCCAGCTCAGTCCATCGGGTCCCCATTATCCCAGCATCGGCCAGGGTGGTGACGCTGGAGGTCCTTGGAGTGATGCCCACAGCCAGGTCCAACCTTCCAGCCACGCGCTTCAGAACCAGAGAGGAATACAGTATTCAGACCCCACCCTGCAGCCTCAACAGACACAGGCCCACTTCAGTAATCAGACAGGCCTGTATAACAGCCCGGATGGAACCCACAAGCTCACCATCAAGCCCGAGCAGCAGTTCCACCCTGGGATGGGAGGCAGAGATGCGTGTCAAAGTGCGAAGCTCCAACAGCAGCAGATGCTCCTCCAGCAGACTCAGGGTTACCCACAGCAGACAGGCCAGGTTATGATGAGGAACTCTAACAATCCAAGTTGTGACTTTCAAGGCCAGAGCCAAACCTCTTATCCCGGTAGAGGGGGCTTGAGTTTGGGTTGCACCGGAACTGCTCTTTCAGAAGGGCAGAGGTCAGAAACCCCCATGATGCAGGTGAAGGAAATGATGGTGAGGAACTATGTACAGTCCCAGCAAGCACTCATGTGGGAGCAGCAGCAAGAGCAGCAACAACAACAGCAGCAGCAGAGTGGAATAAAACCTCCTTCACTGGCCGAAAATATGGATATGAGTGGCCAGGCAGTGATGATGCAGCGCAGCCCACAGCACCAAAACCAGAACCTTTATTCCAACCAGGCCTATCCTTCCTACCCCAACCAGAACCTGGTCATGAGTCCTCCAGCCCACAGCCGAGTGCCCAGTTCTGTGACAACTAAAGACCAGCAGCTGACAGGTCTCCCAGGGTCGTGCTATGGCCAGGAGATGGTGGTTCCTAGGCCTCCTCAGGTACGGAAAGCCCTCAGCCGCCAGAACAGCGTGTCACAGGTAGGAGGGGGCTACCTGGGCAGCCCACCCCACCTCAGCCCTGTCCACTCCACTCCCAGCCCCAGGCGAGGGGTCAGACTTCCTCCAGTCCAACATCCGCAGCACCCACAAAACGAAATGTTCTCCCCTTCCAATAACAACAACATTTACTACGCGGGTCAGATCAACATGGATATGGATAAACATATGGACCCCCAGAACGGGCCTTGTATCAACCAGCAGCTTAGCATGGCATCCAATCTGGACTCAACAGGTGGCACTAAGTCTGCTCCCTATACTGAGTCCGGCCCCATCTCCAATGCCTTAGAAAACCTGGACCTGGACAATGCTCGCATAGACTTCACCTCCATCATCGATGATGCCGACTCTTCCTCGTTCAGCCCGGTCAACCATCCCCTTCAGGGATCTTCCTCTCAGGCCTCATCGCGCCTCACCACCCCTCAGACTTCTGTCAGCTTAGCCGCAGGCTCTGGTCTGTCCAACATGGCCGTTGGGGACATGACATCCATGCTTACCTCGCTGGCTGGGGAGAATAAATACCTGAACACTCTGTCTTAGAAGACAACTCAGCATATACTCTGACTAACAATCAAACTGAGGCCGTGTCGAGGTCTAATATAGACAGCCTGGAGTTTCATACTCCTAAGTCCTGTTGCTTGTAGTGATTTTCTCTTGTATGTTGCAAGAACGGTCAGTTGAGGTGAGACAGACAAACGTTTGAATGGAACATTTCATGAATGACTCATTAGTCTGGGCTGTTTTATTCGTCCCTTTAAGCCTTCATAAATGAACCCAACACGTTAACCCTTCTCCGAGCCAGGGCCCTGAACTGTCTAGGGGTCTGTTGCTATTGGATACCAATGTAACAGGAATAACAATATGCTGTAATGGTCGCTGGTCGCAAGTTGTGACTAAGCTATTAATGTGGTCCCATTACTTACATTTTTAAGAATCCCCACCCTAAACCTTAAAACCAAAGGTGCCTGGTCAGTCTCGCTCTTTTGCTGTATTCTTCCATCACTGCCTTGGTACTTGGTATTTTTTTATGCCTGATAAGAAACTGATGCTGAACTTTTGCCAAACAGGCATTCCAGTCACATAGGGCTGTGGCGACAGTGGAGCAGAGAATGATACGTGTAAATAGGTTTTATATACATTTATATATGTTGTGTATATGACAATGAGACTTTGGATAAATCCTCCGCTCTCTCCTGATCAACTGCTTGGATTCTGAAGGCCAACATTCAGATGAGAGTTGTTAAGGTAGCTGGTCGGACGGATGAGAGAGATACGCTTTTTAGTGATTGAGAAATTATTTCTCGGTGCTACTAAATATTAATCTGCAATGCTAGAGATTTCTTCCTCGTCGTGAACATCACAGTCACACACCAGCGGCGTATCAGTATTCCAACACACACAGACACAGACACACATAGACCTCATTCAGACCTGGTATTAACATCCATCCTGAGTGATCCGATCACAAGTGGACAGTGCTAAGTGCAGGTTCCTGAATGCGTCCTGAGATGTTAGTACCAGGTCTGAACAGGGCCATCTTATTCCCACACGTGCACAGATGCAGACACACACATATCCTTCACACAGACACTCAGGACTCTGAATCTTTGGTGTTCAGATTGTGTTGTAAATTGCCTTTTCCAGACAGAGAGTTTGCACTCCACATGTTTACTGTAAGTGTTCTTAAAGCAGCTGTGTACCTTTTTCAGTGGCGATTATGTGACTGAAAAACAGAAAGTGCCTTGCTCTTTCCAAGGTACACACATAGGGGTTAATGAGTAAATGTAAAATGTGTGCCACAATCCCCTCTGTGTTACAATATGTCTGATATACTCAAACATAACTGCCTTTGCTCAACATTAACTCGACCTACGACTCGTACACGACTCAGCTGAGGATGACGGCTTTTTTTTTTGGAATGAAACCCGAATCAGCTGTTTTTGTATTTGATAACAGATCACTAATGGATGCCTGTATTTGAGAGGTACAGTCGCCGTACAGTGCTGCTGCACCTTGGCTCGAATCCCAAAGAGGAGTTTTTTGGAAACAAATCAGCGTCAGGACAGGGGGATCAAGACGGAGGAATTTAATCAGTTGCTACCACTGTAGTGAAACACGTATTTTTATAGCTACGCTGAGGTACTTCTGTGTGACTGCTGAGCTGTATCACATGAAAAAAAGGCTGCAGCTCTTGGCAGGAGAACAAATTTTACACTGTGGCTTTGCACTGACTACAGCACTGTGTGTAAAGGTCTCTGTCTCTCACAACTATTCAAATGAACCTCATTTTGAGAAGAATAACAAATTGTCATTGGAGAACACATCCGAGCACAGCTAGACTCAATAAGGACTCGTAAAAATATTCTCTTTATGTGACTTTATCAGAATAAAACAGTAGCGTCCCTTCTAAGTGTTAATGAGCATTAGCGGAATTAACCTATATTCATGTTGGTACAGTGTACATTCTACCAAAGACACCTTAAAATGACTGAGAAACGATGCACAAATAGTCTATGTTAACACAACACTAACACTAGCAATAAGCAACACTGACTGATAGTGCTGTTCTTTAGAATGTATGAGAAGTTTTGTATAAAATGATCTTTTATATTAATGAACTTTATGGATGTCGTCTTCTATGTGCGTGTGTGTGTGCGTGTGTGTGTGTTTTTTTATTACTGTCATCCTTCACTCTGACTTTTTTGCTGGCAAAAGAAAATATCAACCTTTAGCTACAGAAAGATATAATAGTAGCATTAACTATAATAGACGAAAGCCAAGTGTTATATTTTGTGTACAATTTTCTACATTTTTATACAAATGTGCTATATTTTACCAGTCTATGAATAAACATGTTCAGTTTGGGATGGATGCAGAATGTTTGTCGAGCTTTTTTTTTTACGTTTTTCATCACAAAGCATGTTGTTGGCTTTTTGTGTGTTATCACAGCAGTCACAGATACGGCTCTGTCATGAGCTGTATCTGCAAATTTAGTATTTCAAATTTTTAATTCAGTTCAGTTTTTTTTGTATAACCTCATATCACAACACACATTCTCTAGAAGCACTTTAGGTCAAGACCTTAAAAAAATATAGAGAACCCCAACAGTTCGTGTGAGCAAGCATTGGCAACTGTGGAGAGGGAAAAACTCTCCTTTAACAGGAAGAAACCTCTGGAATTAGACTCAGTGTGTGCGGCAATCTGCCTCGACCGGTTGGGGTGAGTTAAGAGAAATGGGGGAGAGATGGGTGGAAAAAGACAAGAGAGAAGAGAGAGAGAACAGGAGCAGTTAACTGGAACTGTCTTATTTAAGCTTATTAATAATAATAACAATAATAATAGTAATAATTGAGTATTGTCAGATCTGGACCCTGCAGCTCTCAGTCTCAGATGATGTAATTTCAATTTCCAGATGACATTTAATTTACCAAAGCACCATTAAACAAGTTTCCAGGTGTGTGCTCTTCTCCTCTGTACGTTCTGTAAACAACCAATCAGGAGCTGTCAACTATTTGCACGTATAATGTAAAGTGAGGTTCAGTTGTTTTGTTATTTTTGCTGTAGTTTCTGATTGTTACCATATGGGCATGATGGGTTTTGTAATGAAAATGCTTATGGGTGATATTTGTTTCTGTGCCTGTCGGATTGATGCAGTGACTCCTTCCCTCCAATAGAGAGCAGCACTGCCTGAGAACAAGCACATGTTGCCCACTATTACTGCTTCATTCACTTCAAATGGACGAACATAGCATAACTTAAGTGCAGACCTTCCTAGATATCCACCCCTGTGCAATGCATTCCAAAATAATTCAACCTACTTAACCTAAGCGAGGGTATTATCCAATATACTCACCCTATTTCCCACAGACTGATTGGAAAACCCCTTGTTATGGGTATGATGTAGACCTGCCTGTTATGAATCTGCTGAGCTGCTGCAGTAAGTGGACGAACGTTAAAAATGGCTGCTGATGATGACGTCAGTGCCTGGACGGGCTCTCTGTGGTCAGTGGGCACTGGCACCATGGGCTGTCGAATGCTGTAAGAAAGAAAAAAGACAAATCTTGCTTATAAAGTCATATCAACATCACATGTGCGCTTTAAAACACATCACAGAAGAGGCCGGTGGGAAAACTGAGAGAAGAAACAAGTAAAAAGGTTCAAACCAATGATTTCTGTTTCATATGACACTTTACACCAGTAGTTCCCAATCGTTTGGGCTTGTGACTCTTTTAAAATGAAGTCATGTCTATTTGTGACTCCACATCAGGACATGGTGGTGTGGAAGCGAGTTATGAGTAATGTAACCAAAGAGCGATTTTCCTTCTGATTGAAGCAGAATTAGAGACACAGCAGAAGAAATAAACACAAATCGAATTCTGAACCCTGTAAACATCCCTCAGATTTATGTTTAAACTGATTATTGGAAATGATCGTAAACAAAGTGTAATTATATCATGAACAGCGGAAAATATTGGTTCAAACGTTTCTCTCTCTAAACAATATTCAGGTGTTGTTGGAAACAATAAAACATCTTTTCATGCTATAATATTATTCTTCCGGTTAATACAGGCCTTTAAAAGATTCCAAATGTGGGGGAACAAAATCTTCCCTCCTTAACTTCCGCCATTCAAGTCTAATCAAGAAGGGAATTTCCAAAGTTAAAGTTATTTTTAGGGCAAATTTCTCTCTTAAAATGACTTTTTGAGTGCTCATGTGACTGAAACCACACAGTAACTTCATATAAGCTTTGGAACACTTATTATATATATATTATATTACACTTATTACATTAAAAGTGCATTAAGAGGAGATTTTTTGATTGTCAGTAACAGAAGGAATTGTTGAATCAGGCAAAAACTTGTTCAGCTTTCACATGTGCACTTTTTTTTAAAGACAGACTTGATAATAAGCACATAGTTCACTTTAACAGACACAACTAAGTTAAAAATGCCTACATGCAAACGTTTTTAACTTCTTGATTATTGTAACGAACGTGATAGATGTGTAACATAACATTCAGAATTCTCCAGCTTGTCCATTTTCCCTTATTTTGTAAGTCATCTAACTGTCATTTAATCTGATGTGTTTGGTAAAAGCTGATTTGCAGTAACTTTTGTAACATGGCACTGCCACCATTACTTTTTACAGTGTTGGCTCATATTTTGGTTCAGGGGCCCCAATGTACTTAGACTATATTGGCCTTTTGGTGCTGTGGCATGGCACAGTGGACTCACGGCAGCCACTACCGCCTGGCGCTGATGTTAAAGGTGACTAATCTGCTCCAAGGCAGAACCGGACGCTCTCCTGACGGACTATTGATTTTGCAATCTAGCGAAACCAGAATCCAGAAAAGAATATTTTTTTATCTCCATGGAACATGGTCAACTAGAAGAAGATTTGGCATTTGACAGGGCAGCTGATAAAACGAAGAGGATCCCTACATGCTGCAAACAAACCTACAGCAACATTTGTGGTGTAAATCCACTTTATTATTAATGCATCAATCTAATAATAAAGTTGCTCTATATGCTGCAAATGTTTCTGGAGCTTTAACCTCTTCAGACTTTTTCTTAACTCTTCTCCATGCACCTTGGAAGAAGATAAAGTTGAGCCATAGGGGAATATAAGTGCAAGAAACAACAAAAGTTACAGCCTCTTAAGATTCACACACACTATAGATGCATATATAGATAGATAGATATGTATTTCTACACAAAGTAGAAATACATATCAAAAGTTGTTGTTTCAAACCTGTAGAAATGTCACCTTTGCGATGAGGTTCACAAACTAGAAGAAATCAGAAGTATGATACTTTGTAGAATTGATTGTTAAATATAATGGAGGCTCGCTGTGCTTAACTCTGACTTATTTGACACAATGATATAAATCTAAGAGTTAAAGCACAGCGACCTTCACCCATTGTTTTCTTCAAACCTTTTGGAAACATTGTCTTCTTCTCTCCTGCCTCAGGCCAACGTGGCTGTGATGCAAGGTGACCATGGTTTCTTTTCTCAGAGTTAGAGTTAGTGTGTATTTCTACATTCTTGAACAGGTTCAAAGTGAAAAGTTACACAACACTGATGCGATGATAGTGCTGTCGACGCTCCACAATGCGATCCCTGCTCCTCTGCGGAGTTACAAATGGAAATGCCAAAATAAGAACAGAGTTTTTCAAATGCAAAGAAGTGGGCAGCATAATGACTTTTCTCTTTTCTTGTCTTGCCATTCAGAGGGAGGCTTTTCTTTTCCTTTGTCACTTAGGTTGGCATATAATTAACTCCTGCTTAATATGCCGTTTAAGGGCTCTCCTCCCCATGCAAGAAGCTTTGAACCCATAGACCAGAGACAGGGACAAAACCCCAGTGGGACAGCTTCCTCTGCGCTCCACTGTATGTGTGTGTGTGTGTGTGTGGGTGTGTGTGTGTGTGTGTGTGTGTGTGTGTGTGTGTCTAGGTGTTATTGTGAGAAAGAGAGAGAATGAGTTGTTATTTCAACAAGACAGTAGAAAACAATCTACAAAGCTGTAGCATTGCTGTGTCCTTGATTCACTGCACAACATTTTAACCGAAACAAGTACGTTCATGAACATTCAGTGTACCGATCTTTAAAGGAAGTGCATCAGGGCAGTAGGATCATATGTGGATTCAAGGAATATACTGGGAATGGTTGGTTTGTGGTATCAGTGTCTGGTTACGCCCATTAACAAAATGCAATATGACGCTATATATATTTTCTTCTGTTTTTCTATTAGTAAGCACAGTTCTTTGGTCGGGCAGTTGCAAAGTAAGAATTTCATTACCCAATAATAAACCGCTGTGTCTGTTATTGTGTATATGACAAATAAACATCTTGAATCTTGAATCTTAATCTTAAAAGACAACAAAAGCTATGGCTCTAAACTTCACGTGCAAACAAGCTACCAATATACCCATAAAAAAATAGTATGAATAAACAATTTGATTGAAATCAACTAAAATGAACGAAGACTTCTACTTCATCTGAAGGCTGACATATTACAGTGGTCTATATACAAACATAACTTTTTTAAAAAACAGCTCCCAGGACCTTTGACGAACTCCTGCACCCATGTGACCCTCATCCGCTACAAACTTTTATTACACCCCCCTCATCCTCACCCACCTCCTCTCCTCCCTCTCTCTTTCTCTCCTCCCTCTTCCATCCATCCCACCACAAAGGGCCGTGATGACCCTTCTGTCCCTCTCTCTCTTTCTTCGGGCCCTCTGCTCCCTCCCCACCTTCAGGATGCTTTCTCTTCCAGAATCCAATAAAGAGACAAAATACCACCATCCCCCCCAACCACCCCCAACTACCTAACAGTCACGATGGGTGAAGGAACAAATGGGGGGGGGGGGGTGTAAGAGCTGTTAATGTAGGGAAAATGTGTCTTAGGATATATGACATGTAAAGTTATAAGGTGGAGGTGGATGGGGTTGAAAAGGTGATAGCCTCGTGATATGAGAATGAAAATTAAGAAATATTGTGAAAAATGTATTCATCTCATCTGACACGTCTTATGTTTGCAGCATGTACGTACAGGGACTATGCAATAGTGACTATAGAGACATTGTTATAGGCCTTTATATCTGTGTTAATGTTGCATGATAATTGGAATTTACTGTTTTTATTTCTCTAATCCTCTCCCCTGTGTCAGATCCCTGCTTGTTTGTCAGTTTGCAGGACACGTGATTATCTCACACAGTTGCTAAAGAGGTGTGGAGTGGGGTGGGGGTTACACTGTAGAGCCAGGGTGGGGGTCCTGAACGCTGCGTTAGAGGTCTATTTCGGATGTTTTTTTCAGTTGCAAAACAGATTAAGGTCCAGGTTGCAACACAAAGGGAAGCTGCCAATG